CCCCAGTTTTCCACACTGTGCTACCTCTCATTGATGCCAAAGTCATTCCCACAGTGGAGTTACAGAAAAGATGAAATTGGCTCCTCACTTGAGAAAATTATGCTGAGAACTTTTTTACTGTTTCAGGTGCTTGTGAATTTGATTTCAATGAGCATATCTGTACTGCTTCTGGGCCATAGCTGGGAGCTCCACAGTGAAGCATGCCATGTACCCTCTATGCACACTAAACCCTGGAGAGAGGGTGGTGATGCACGGTGATCCTTTCTGGTGATCTTGAGACCACTATTGAGGCACAAGCTCTGCTCACTGTGTCCCACTCTGCATGAACCACTTGCCAAAAAATGGTGTCTACTTTCTTTTTTGGTGCATTCATGGTCTCAGTCTTGGCATGATCCTGGTAGAGGTGCTGAATTCACTTGGAATGCCTCTCACTTTGACAGATGATATTTTTTCAGCCCATGGTACTTTCTGTGTGGGAGTAGGCAGGGTTTATTTCTCCATGCTGGTTTTGGGATTGTTGCAGGGGTTGTATAGACAACCCTGAAATACCTCTAATTTAGGATTCAGCATATGCAGTGCAGGGGTGTTGTGTATCAAGGCAGTGGCCTCCTTGCCCCATCTGGAAATGGTGTAGACATGCCTAGTATGTTTTCTGTGGGGCTTTGACAAAACATGGCAGGGCTCAACTGCAATTGAGGCACCGGTGTGTTTATTCTGTAAGCTCACTGTTTCAGGAGGACAGGCTGATAAGTCACTTGGCAAGATTTAGATCAAACCATGACACATAAAAGCTCTCAGTTGTTCAGGAGCAAGCTGGCTCTAGTGCCCTCCACAAACTTTGGGTATTCAGTTTAGTAGGAATCAAGATGATCAACTATTGTTTATCTGACCTTATGGAAGCAAAGCATCAGGCTCGGAGGAGCAGGCTTGCTCCTTCTTCATAATGGGCCAGTTACTTAGTCCATGTAAACAGATGCAACTCCACCAAAGCTAGTGGAGCTGTGTTGATTTAAACAAACTGATTTGCCTGTTGGTAAATCTGGGCTGCTGATTTTTTGCCCAGGATGTAAACACATCCAAAAACTAGTTCCCAGGACATCTGAGAAGTTCACTGGCATAACAATGAGGAAAAGAAGTGCTTTTTAAAATTTTAATTAAAAAAAATCAGATACAACACAATGTGGGACCATACCCACACTTGTGGTTTTCTGCATTTTCAGATTGTCCTAGTGATGGTAAGCTAACAACAGGTTCTGCCTGCTTTGGGAATTAATAAACACATGAAGTCATTCTTGCTCTCAGATCTTCCAAATATTCATTAGTGCCCAGGTAATTCCCAAGCAATGTCACCAATCGCTTAGCTGGCATCCTTCCCTCTTAAGGTAATAGGTGTCACTTGGCTGAAGAAGTGACAGTTTTGAAGGCTTTGGAAGCTTGAGAGAAACCAAATGTTGAGCTGACACAGGTATTTGTGTTTGTCCAAGCTCTAATTTTGTTTTCTTCCTTTTTCTGTTTGGCAGGGCTGCTTTGATAGCAAAGGTAAGAACCTAATGTTGTTTACAACGTGCTTGAGAAGTGCTCAGGCTTGCTGTGACAAGAAAGCTTTCTTAACAGCACTCATGTCTCAAGAAGAAATCGGCATAAATAATGAAATGGGCATTATGATTGTGGGCACTAAAACTTGGAGGCTTTAAAAAAAGACAGAGAGATTGAAGGTTGGGCTTCATTTGACTGAATGTGTACAAAGGTTCCAATAACGTCTTCAAATATCTGAAGGGCAATTATAAAGAGGATGGAGATGGACTTTTTTTGTGGCTGTAGGAGACGGGACTAGGAGCCATGACCTCAAGCTGCAGCAGAGAAAACTTAAGTTAGAGATTTGGAAGAACTCTGACTATGTGGAAAGGCTACCCATAGAAGTTGTAGAATTTTCAACGTAGGTGGAGGGAGAAAAAATATTTGGGGGGGCTGAGTGCATGTGCGCACCCTCCCAGCAGGTAAGTCTGTGGGGGAAGGGGAGGGAGTGGGGCTGGGGCTGGGGCTGCGGCAGGTCCTTCACAGCTGAGGTGGGGTGTGGTACAGAGCTGTGAGTGGCTTGTCTGGGGGGAGGGGGCCTGGCGTGGGGAGGAGGTGGAGGCTCTTGCCAGTGCATGCATGCTGGGAAGCATAGGGGCATGTGCCCCAGATCTGTGTGGGGTAGAGTGGGCTGCCATTGTGGGCTGGAGCCAGGGCTGCACCAGGCTCTTTCCAGCAGGGGGAGGGGGGTTGGGCCGAACTGCGCTCAGGGCAGGCAGTGGTGGGGTGCTGGGAGGTGGGGGTGGGGGGGGGGTATGATGAAATTTGGGGGAGGTGGAGGCCCCCCCCCCACCACCTACCCCAAGCGCAGCATGGTCTAACCCTCACTGAGAAGAGCCTGGCATAGCTCTGGCTCCAGCCCATAGCTGCAGCCCACCCTGCCCTGCACAGATTCAGGGGCACATGCCCCCCATGCCCTCCTGGGGTGCGTGTAGCAGCAGGAGCCATGCCCTCCTCAGACAAGCTGCTCGCGGATCAGTCCCACGCCCTGCCTCAGCTGTGCAGGGCCTGCCCCAGCCCCACTCCCTCCCTCACCACTGTGCCCGTGCCCCTCCTCACCCCTTCTGCAGCTGCTGGAAGCCCATGGCTGGGCTGCCTTGTGGTCCTATCGCTGCTCCGCATTTGGGGGGACTAAGCCCCATTAACCCCCCCCTCCCCCCCGCCTTTTGCCACCTATGATTTTCAGCCTTGACATTTTTCAAGAGTAGTTTAAAGAGACACTTAGCTGTCACGGTTCAGTCAGGGATGATCCTACCTTGAGCATGGGGATGGGCTATATGACCTCCTGAGGTCCTTTCCAGCCCTGTGTTCCTACGACCCTATGATTCTCTGAAGTATTCAAACTTCCTCGGTTTGCACAGCTGGTCTCAGCATCTTTTAAGAAGAAATTGTCCCAGTACATTTTCAGTACTGTACTAACTGGAAAACATAAGTGCAAATGTGGGAATAAGTTAGTTGTTCCTCTAAGAGAATGATTTACCTTTTTTGAAAGGAGTCAGCTGCTTATTGTTTCTCAGCAGTGCTTTGGCTGATGTCTTAGATTGGTGCAAATTAGTGATAACTCCACCAACAAAAATGTATGTAACCTAGTGCAGAGCTGGTGTACATCAGAGATGAATCATGACCTATTAGTTTTTGTTTTTATTTGTCTAGGAAGCTTCAAAGAGTGGGATGCACCAAATAGATTTCTGAGCACATGTCAAGATATTACTGAACAGAAGGTAATAGTTTGTTTCTTAGTTACTGTTTTCTCTCTTCTAGGAAGTGAATCTTCTTTATCTCCTCTATCAATAGAAGCATTTTAATCTAGCAGACAAAGTCTTGGTGCTTGTGTTACACAGGAAGTCATATGATCACCATGATTCCTCATAGCTTTATGAAATAAAAACATACAACGATTTTAACTGGACTCTTATGTTTGTAAAAAGTCTTGAAACTAAATTAGAATCAGTAAACTGCTGGAAAAATGTGATGGTGTAAGGTATACATTCGCAACTTTTATATAAAATTGATTTGGAATTTTGTTCATAATTTTCTATGTAATTGTTAATACCTTCCAAAGGACTTCAGTTTCCAGGATTTCCAGCAGCACAAGCTTTATAACCATTAACCATATAGTTTATCTGTAATAACACACACACATATGAACACATCCATCTATTTATTGTCTATTTACCTTTCTACTAATGTATCTACCTGTCTAATGTTTGTATACAGGTAAAAAAAGTTTCCTCCCCATTCAAAGTTTCCTTTCCTTTTAATGGCCCCCATAAGAAATGAATGGTTTCTTGAAAACCAACTCCTTTGCTCAGCTAGCAGTTCTGTCCCAATGACACTACTTCAGATCATCTCTTGAAATCCATCACTTTACAATTAAAAAAAATAGAACCAGGAAACAAATTTTGGGTGTGAGTTTTGAACTTCCCACAGTCTGGGGCATTTATGATTGGGAGTGTCTTTTTTTTGTAACTATAGTTATTAATTTTCATATTATAGCAATAACAAAAACAACAAAAAACATAAAATATAAACTAAGTAAAATACAATAAAAAAGCAAAACCAAAGCATTACAAAATAGATAATTAAACGTACATGCTATAAATTTAGTAGAGACTAGGGGAAAGAGAAAGCTTGACATTTATATATGACCAACTAACAAATATACATTTAAAGGATACCAAACCACAAACAAATCAACTTATAAACCTAACAGAAGATTCATATTGCACCATATTTCTTCATATTGGGCCAAGTTATGTCTATTTGCATATGTAATCTTTTCCGCTAACACAAAACATGCATACGTTCTTTTAACCATTCCAAGAATTGAGGTACACTGGGAGTTTTCGATTTCCTTAAAATTACCTGTTTAGCAACCAAAAATATTATAGCTAGCCATTTTTACATAGGTGCAGACAATGGTAATAAATCCATAATCCACAATATGCATACATCTGGTGATGATACATCTGGTGATGTTAATTTTAAGCATCTTAGAAAGTGTTACACAGATGCTCAGCCCAAAAACTAGTAATTTTAGGACAAATGAATAAAATATGACTAAGAGACCCAACCTCGTTTCCACATCTCCAACAATAGTCATTTGAGGCTAGCCTTACTTTAACTTTTCTGAGGTCCAATACAACTTATTCAAAATCTTGTTCTGAATAACTCTTAAAAGCAATGGATTAGATGTTTTACAAAGTGATTTCCAGATACTATCCCATTTCTCAACTGTTAATATCTATAAGTCGTTTTCCCATTTACCTTTAATGATGGCTGCTGGATATCATAGTTTATTGAATCATTTATACATATTACCAACGAAGTGAGATTTATCTCTAGAATACAACACACATATTTCCAAATTTGTATGTGATAAATCATTCCATATGTTCCCATATGTCTTATTCAGCCAAGAACAAAGCTTTTTCCAGAATATCTTCTGTTCATTACATAACTGAACCATATCACACATATAAGCAAAAGGTGCAAGACTACCATCCTTTATGATGGATTTATTGTAGCTATATCCTTTTTTCCAGATATCTGAGATTCCTTTATTATCTTTAAACATCAATTGAGGCTGTCCCCATAAAGAAATAAAGGGAGATCTTATTAAATCAGAAGATGTTAAGGCTTACATTTTCTGTAAGGTTGGGAGTTTCTAATTTCTTCTATCCCATCAAAATGTCAATGCAACTTAAAACTCGAGGAGTTCCTTTAATCTTCAAAATACTTTAGAAATACTAACTAAGATAATACAATTAATTAGCTTGATTAGGACAATCTTTGTTTCTGTTACAATGATGCAATATTCGGATAACCTTAACGAAACCAATGGCGTACTTCTTTGACTGCTAAGGAAGGGTGCAGACACATGACGTGTTTACTCTGTGATAAAAGGGGAGCAGACAATAAATAGTAAATCCCTGAAATCCAGAGTAAAGTTATCCTGTGAAAAATGTGTGGGAAAGTTACTATATGGAATGTGGTATTTTTCCACTCCTGTAGTCAAATTCTTTCCAGGACGGGGCACGGGAAGAGCATTTGCTCATTGCAACCGTATTTGCTTCCTTTGCACCTAGTGGCCAGAGCTGTAATAGCTCCGACTGTGGGCAGCTACATTAGGAGAACTGGTCATATGTCTACTCCTTACTGGGTGCATCTACACAAGATGTTTACTGTGCAGTAGACTAATTAGCGGGACAGTAAATGTCTTTGTATCTGCATGTGCAGTCCTTTTCAGCTGGAGTAAACTAATTTACTCCACAGCAGGATAGTACTTGTGTTTACTTATTTTATTTTTTTCATAGTTTCATAGATCTTAAGGGATGGAAGGGACCTTACAGATCATCAGGTCCAACCTCCCCTTCATTTGGGCATAGTAAGTACAAGTACTATCCTGCTGCAGTTTTTAACTCTGCAGCAGAGCGTGTGTAGACCAGGGGTGGGCAAAATATGGCCGGTGGGCTGCATCCGGCTCACCAGGCCATTCCAACCTGCCCACAGGGCCCCTCCATAAGCCCTCTATAAGCGCTGGCCCTGGGCTGCCCCGCCATTCAGGAGGTGCAGCTCTGGTTGCTAAGCAACCACACCCCTGACCCCAGCCTGGCCTAACCCACCGTCAGTCCCTAGCAAAGGGGCGCTGGAGATGAGAAACCTTGATCTGGCGAAGGCTTTTGCTGGCATCCACGTGGCTATTCCCAGCCTCCATGTCTGTGAGCCTGAACATGCAGGTACAAGCCCCACCAGGCTGGGACAGGGACTCCAATGGGGGAAAGGTGGCAGGAGTGTGAGGAGCCACATGCTATGGGGCCAGGCCGGGCTGGCCCCACACTGCAGGAGTACAAGATCTGCACACTGTGTGGTCAGGTGAGACCCACTATGTGCAGCTGGGAGCTTGGGTGGGAGCATGGGAGCTGTGCACTATGGGGCTGGGTGCATATGAAGGCATGGCACCCAGGAGCAATAGACTCAGGGACAGTAAGCTCTCAAGTTTATTCATGTGCATTAATATGCACGTGTAGACGTGCCCACTATGAAGTACATTTATTACAGAGAAAAATCTGAGGTAAATTATTCTTTAGTAATTGTGTCATGTATCCACACTTGGAAATTAGATCTGGTTCATCATCACCATGCAAGTTTAGGCCTCAATTTCATCATCTTCTCCATGAGAGAATTTGGAGAAAGACCTGAATATCTCTGCTGGAGAAAAAATTGGTGGTTCATTTTTGGGTTTTGGAGTAGAGAGCATGTAAGAGTAAACAATTTTCTGAATTTCTGTCTTGCAGGAGGGCTGCCTTCATGAGCTGGTATCATTCAAAATGAACCATATGACCAGGATGACCGTATGCATGTTAGATCACAGGAACTTGCTGTCTGTAAAGGAAATCTTGAACTGCTTCCCTGCAACCAAGCTGGTAAGTTTGGTTGCAGGGAAGCAGCATCAGCATCAGCAGCATCAGCATCAGCATTCTCTGAGGTTATCTCCAATGCTTTGGATGGAAAATAAGCAATGGTTATGGTTTAACTAGTCTGAGAGCAGGGGGCATGTGTGTATTGGGGGTTTGGACTAGCAAGGGATCATTTAATGTAAAGGACAATGGACTGTTTAAACCTGTCAGGCTTTATGGGTAAAACATTCCAAAATAACTAGGTGGCTGAGTAGACAAAGTGCTGTTGGCAACTTGGAGCATTTGTAGATGACACATTCCCCTTTTGCATTGCTTTAATGGTGTTGCTGTTTGCACGAGTTTGCAAATTCAGTGACTTACTGTGCATTAATTCCAGCCACTGTAGCAAATTCGGCAGCATAATGGGTCCTAAATGACTTTGGGGCACAGCAAACTAAAACACCTCTGTGGAGTTTGTTTGCTACCTTACAGCCATGGAGGGATTCACCGGGCTCCGTGCAGCTCGGGAGCTGTGCAGACAGCCCCAGCAGGCAGCCTGGCAGCAACCCATGGAGGCAGGCTGCACTGAAGAAAAACAAAACAAGTGACAAGCCTGATCTCTTTTATTTTTTTTTTTTAAAATCTTCCCTGGAACCTGCCTGAGCTGTGCGGGGGCCTGGTGCTTCCCTCTGCAGCTGCGGTGCACCCTGGGACCGCCCGAGCCAGGTGCCTGCGGGCAGGTGTAGCCTTGGGCAGGGGGCGGGGGGTACAGCTGCCACAGAGGGAAGCACCAGCCCTCTCCCCACAGCTCAGGGACTGCTCTGTCCGCTGGTAGCTTGCTCTCCCCTCCCCAGTGCCGCAGAGGCAGGTAAGAATACAGGTGTACAAGACACAGGGTTTTACTTCGCCCTAAATTGCTTACTTCGCTTCAATTTAAACCCCCGTGTCATCTACAAATGCTCCTAGGCTTCAAGTCACTTAAACACTTTTTGAAAATCTTGTTCTATGTGCCTGTGCATATGGAAGGCATTTTCTAGGATAATCAGAGTTAGAATAGATGTGATAATGGATAGTCCTGCATTTCCAGCTTGCAGTTGTTCTGGAGAGGCTGGTTGCCCATAGCATTTCAGGAAGTCAGTAATATCTGACACTGCCAGACTGATGTGGTTTCCATGGAGGCACTTCAGTCTGAATAAATGGCTTTGATGTGGAAGAAGAATTTGAAATGGTGTTTAAATGATGGTCTGTAAAACAAAGGCAACCTGTGGTTATTGGTACACTAACTTCAAGGGAAGATGTAGAAAGATACGGAGAATAGTTCTAATGCAGTTGTACCTAGGGTTTTGGTTTTGAGAATCTGCATAGATAAGTCAGACACACAGAAATAAAAGAAAATGATACTGGGATTAGTTTGATATTGTCAGTCTCCCACATGTCATTAACTTGTCTTTTTGCCTTTCTTACATGAAGATTGCTTCTATATAAAGTTAGATGAAGACCGTTTATCTGCTTTACAGGGACATCAGAATTTTCAAGATAACCTTAAAATAGCAATTTTAGACGGGTAAATAGCAGGGCTGAGAGAGGGAAGTTCTTTATCTGTAGTAAAAGAGTGACTTGATTTTTCTGCGGAGAAAAGATACAGTCCCTTGGTGGAGCTCCACCTTCTTTCCTACCAGAAGAAGATTATAGTAAGAGCAAAATTACCCCACTGTGGATTGTGTGGAAAGGTACCTGTTGGAAGGATGCATGGCAAATAGTTAAATGCAATCACTTAGCAACAAACTAAGCTGGATAGGAGGAGACAAAATTAGGAGGATGAGAACTGAACTAGAAGATTAAAGAAGTCAAGGAGAATCCTGCAGCTTTCATGGAATCTTACAAAAGTAGGGCTGGAAGGGACCTCAGAAGTCATCTAGTTCAAGCCCCTGCCTAAAGCAGGATCATCCCTATCCAAACCATCCCATGAAAATTCTTGTCTAACCTATTACTGAAACTACACAATCAACCCTGTTGCACAACTAGAAGGCATAGCACCCTAACCTGCCAAAGGTAAAGCAGGGGGAAAGCGGTGATCAGTTTCAGGGTTGTTTAAAGACATACAAAAAACTAGAACTCTTGGTTCCAAAATGATACCTCTTATAAGATATACCTTTTATTAGGGTTGTTTAAATGCACTTGAGAGATTCAAGGGAGAGGGCCATATCCCCTGATACAGAGGAAGGCAACCCCCCTGCCCGATTCTGTACCAATCTGACCATGAGGTCAAATTCCTTCCTGATCCTAGATATTGTGATCAGTCTAAGCCTGAGTGAAGGTGCAAGACCCTCTAGCCAAGAACCTCCAGGCTTTACTCTCAGCAGGGGCATAGGTATACTACAGTCAAAATCCCCAGCCTTGGTTTCAGCCATTCCCCAATTCTTCTGAGGAAGGAAAAAAAGAAAAGAAAATGGATACATGTAGCAACAGAAGGGGGGAAAATTCCTTCCCAGCCCCAAAAGGCAAATAGCAAAGATCAGAAGTATGGGAAATACTAAACACCCTCTATTCTTCTCAACAGCCTGGAGACATCAAGCATAACTATGGATATATCACACATACTTGCTGGACAGCCAGAACTCTCCTTTCTGTATCCCCTCCAAAATTTTATCCTGGATCCTTTAATCTCCTTTCTAACTAAGACAGTTAGGAAGCTCTGCTTCATTTTTCTGCTGCTGAGTATGGTATCTTCAGCATCCACCCGCTTTAAGCTACAGAGCTCTTTTCATTATCTCCTAGCAGTCTCTGCGTGTGGGAAGAAGCTTCTGGGTTTCTAACTGTTGCTCCTGACAGAGCACTCCAGACACAGCTGCTTCTAGATCATCCCTGAGCAATGCTAACCCAACCTCTTCTTGAAGATCTCCACGGATGGAGAGTCCACAGCTCCCCAAGGCAGTCTATTCCACTGCCTCACCGTTCTAACAGTGAACTTGTTCTTGATATCCAATCTAAACTGCAACGTTTAAGATGTTGGTCCATATCCTGTTCACTGCAGCCACAGGGAAAAGGTGTTCTTCCTCTTTATGGCAGCACTTCAGATATTTATGAGACTGCTATCATGTCTCTTAATTGCTTTTTCCACAAATTGAACATGCCTATTTCCTTCAGCATTTCCTCATTTGACTTGCCTTCCAAATCCTTCAGTTTTTTTGTCGCCTGCTTCTGGACCCTTCCTTACTTCTCCATGTCCTTTTTAAAATATAGAGCCCAAAGGGAATATATTTATGTTTATAGTGGGAAATTCATGATCCATCAAACTAGCTGCATTAAAGCTGCTTAGATTACCATATTAATTCTTTTAGTATTTAAAGAAATAATTCTCTTTCTTGGCAAATGGTATGAGCCTTATGACAATAGTGTATTTGATCAAATCTAAGATGAAGTCCCCTCAATCAGCACAGGGGAAAAAGTCCCTTTGTCTTAGATTTGCATAAAAGAGGAGGGGGAGGGGCTGATGGCTGCTGAGGCTCTGGCTCTGGCCTTTTTATGCTGTGGGGAGCAGGGCTGAGGGGCTGCAGATAGTGGTGGGGCTGAAAAGCTGCTGGGGGGGAGGGGGGGAAGCAATGGGAAAGGAGATTACCTGACTCCCCCAGACACCGTTCTCCCTGCTGTAGCAGTGTGGGGAGAGGGAAAATTTAAGACAACTCTCCAATAATTAGATTCTGTGCCTGGAAAACGATAACAAATTTATAAATTTTCCATATATAGAATCTAATTATTGGGGGTGTCATCTTAAATTCAGGGTCATCTTGGATTCAAGTAAATACAGTAAGTGAAATGTTATTGTATAATCACACAGTATTCCTGAGGAAACAGGTCTGGATGGAGAATGGAAGCTCCCATATTAACAGCTCTGTGTGTGTGCGCGTGCGCACGCGTGTGTGCGTGCATGCACATGTGCGTGCTGTTGTTGCTGTTTTTAGTGAGGGATTTTTTGTGGGTTTTTTTTTTATTTTTTTTTATTTTGCTGAAGGCACCATGATCTCATTTTATTATGATATCTGTGAACTTTATAGATTAAATTCCTCATCTAAGTTATTTGTTCACTGTTTCCCACTGAGCATTTGACCAAAATATAGTTATCTCTCAATCTGAAACTTTACATATCAATTAGTGCTTTTTTAAAAATGTAATGTTCTGAAGAAAAGTCTTTATCATTCCACTCCTAGTAGAGATGTGGCTAAACCAGCTGATAGTGATCTGAACACTAACTGATGCAGACACAGCTCCTTCAATATTTGAGAAGATTTTTGGTTTTGTTTAGCTCTTTCTAGGTCTCATATATTCCCTTGGTGATGATATAGTGAAACTTCCAAATATTTCCCACCCAACCTGATAACACAAATAGCTCTTATGGCACATACTGAATTCACTACATTACTAGTAACTCCTCCCTTCCTCCCCCACCCCTGAGTCATTTTGGTTTGACAAGAGTTTTCTTTCCCAAAGGTTATGCAGCATTTTTTCTGGCAGGTATGAGTCAGCTTCTTCTTGGGTGGCTGAAATATGATCTACAAGGAAGGATTAATCAACTTGCTTTTCATATTTCCTTCAGAGAAAATACTCAGTATAACACTGTCCATTTCTTTACCAAGAATGGGTCAAAGGGTCAAACTAGACAATATAATCGGTTAGAGAATATGCCCATCTATTGGGGATTATGCAAGCAGCTCTGCCATAGGGATCTGGCAGTTGAAGCACATAAATGAGTGTAAGGATTCCTTAGTTCTATTCTGCGTTCTGGACCTGGGCAGGTTGGGTTCTGCTGCGCTGTTATCCAACAGAGGGCTCTTGGCACTAGAGCCTATTTCAGTTTACGTGCCAAAAATGCACTTGCCCAGCTGTGCAAATGCTACTGATGGCCCTCACACACAGTTTGTGATTCTATTCTGGTAGCAGTGTGGGCATGCAAGCATCCACACAGCTACTGAGCATGTTCTGTTAGGCTGTCCTCTAGTTGGCAGGTCTGTGTGTAAGGCTGGGTAAGTCCCAAACTGGCCAAAAACCCACAAGAAAGTCGTGCCTAAACTTTAACCTGATGGCTTAGGGGCTAGTGTGCTTACCCAGGAAGCAAAATGTTTAAGTTCTAAGCCCTCCTCACCCAAACCTGGTTTAAATCTACATGTCTCTTATTTCCAAGCACAGTGCTTCAACCATCAGGCCATAAGTTAGATATTTTTGAGCCCTCCTCTTGAAGCTGAGTCAGTGCAGCTTGTTTTAATAGTCATTAGATTAAATGAATGGAGAGCAATGGGGAAGTTTCCAAACTCACTGCAAGTGAGGCCACAAGCTAAAATACAGGGCCTCCTCCCATCCGGAGTAGCGTTCATTTCACTAAACCACTTATCTTTTCACTGAACAGTGGCCCTTCTAACTAACTAACTAAGTAACAACTTCTAAGGGTGACACAGTTGCTAAAAATAACCATGCACCACCAGGACAGCACAGTAACAGCTGCTACTACGCCATTATTTAGTATTTGCTAAAGCAAGTACTAAATCATAGTGCAGTAACAACTGTGCCATGGGGGGCACATGTAGATACACCTGCTGAGTTCCTGTCCTAAGCACTAAAGTAATGCACTAAAACATGGGAGGGCCCCCTTCTTCTCCCACTGCATCTTGGATCCTAAGAACAAGTAATGCAGATGAGGAGTTTCCCTTAACCTTTGAAATCAGCTGAGTAATTAGAAAACTGATCTCATCTTCAGATAGTTAAGCTGTTCTTTACAGGGGTAAAAAACCCATAGGCTGTCTGGATAGACTGTTTCCTGGTATCAACCACTTGTATGTTCTTTCCTTTGTTATATATTCTGGCTCTCTGAACTCAGGTTACCTTTGTGTTTTATTAGTATTTTTATGAATTTATGATCTGGAAAGTTTTCTTCATTCTCCTGACCAGGAAACTGAAGCAAAGACAGTTCCTGAATAATTCTCCTCAAAATTTACACAATTAAAATTGAATGGAAAAAAAAACTTAACCAAATACAATTCAATTAAAAACCTTTAATTAACCTAGCTGTACAAAATAAAACTCCATCTCAAGTTTTTAAACTGACCTACTGAATACCTGGGCAGGACACACTGAGCATTTTAAGTTCATTTTTGATAGCTGGCCAATAATTAAGAAGTTTGTTAAAAACTTTCAGGGAAAAATCTTGAAGTCTTTTATGAACCTTCAGGCCCATATTTTCAACAAGTGCATAGAACTGCATTTGTGAAAAGGTTTGCACATAATTTGGGCAATCTTTTGAGATGCGACTAATCATTTTAGGAGGAAATAGGACTACAAACTCTTTCGGGCAGAGACTATGCCTCAATGTGGCTTTTCACAGAACTTGACACAATAAAGCCCTGATTATGCACTGCTGTAATGTATATGAAAATTACAGTTTGCTGGATGGAACAGAAGTGTCTGTGACAGGCACAGAGAGAGAGATACCCAAGAAGTCCTTGGTAGTACTAGAAATAGGACTTGAATTTCTGGTGTAATCCTTTACCTTAACCATTAAAACAAACTTTTCTCCACTGTAATAATACAGGTCCTTGTACAGAAATCACAGATACCACATTTCTGCCCTTGATTTCTCAAAACACAGGAAAGGCAGTGCTGAAGATCATAGACCAAAGAAATATTTTGCCTGAAAAAATGACCTCTTTCAAGGACAAGCATTGCATTTGTGGAGTGGAGTGAGAGGAAAAAAATTCACTCTGTGAATTTAGAGTTTAGAGGGCACATCTACACATGCTATTAATTCACAGCAATAAACTCTGGTGCATATCACGCTGGAGCTTATTGTTTCCAGATGCCATATTTACACATTTTCCCATAACCACAGCACACTGAGCTGGCTGGCAGAGGGTCTGGAGAGGTCAGTCTGCCATCCTGGGGCTGCTCCAATCTAGCTTAATGTGTTGCAGAGGGGCTGGCTGGTAGGTCTGTGAGAATAGGCAACTATTCAATTCAGATTCAGATTTGGCTGATTTGATTCAGACATTCAAATCGCTTTTCCGATTCCATTTGGCCGAATCAATTTGGAAAAGATTCGGAGCCGATTCGGAGAGACTCGGAGATTCAGCTATAGGGCATAATGGGGAATCAATGAAATATCTATAACTTCGTTGTTTTTTTCCTGATTCACTTGAAACTTGCAAGGATGATGACCTCTGCTGAGGGGATGAAGTCTGACAAGTTTCAAGGTGATAGGTGCAGGAATTTCAGGGAAACTGCACCTCAAACTGCTGACAAGCAAAATTCATGACATAGGTGACACTGTGCGTGTGTTAAGGCATAGGGGAATGAAAACTTCAGACCTGCTAGGCCACCCTTACTGTGTAGAAGTTCTTTCTGCTGCAGCCTGCTAGACATCTGACTTCCCAGGTATCTCTGCACTTTTACCTGCGCTGCTACATCCCCTTTCTCTCACCCCATGACACCTCCATTTCCATTTTCACTGACTGGCTTTCTTGCCTGCATTGCATGCCAGGCCAGCCTCTGGCTTCTTTACTATTCCTTCTATCCAGGACCAGGAGACACACCGGTTGCACCTACTTCCTCAGCCTGACAAAGAGTTTTTCAACCCAAAAGCTTCCTATGATAGATTTTTCTAACTATTTTGGTTTTTTTTCATAATAAACATATAAACATAAAAACACAAGATAAGCCATCACACACCATGAGTAAGATATATTCAACATAAGATCTTTACTTCTGTTAATTCCTTTATAAAAAGAAAGGCTCTGTGACAGTTCCATCTGGGTACCTTTGATGCTGCTGGTGCTATTGGTGTTGAGCCAACTAAGTTAGTTTGACCTGACATTGTTTACAGTGGTGGACTGAGCTGAGGCTGTAGGGGAGGAGGAGACCTCACGGGGGCACACTGCCACGTTGTGCAGAGGCCCCAGCACCAGGAAGGGCGCACCTGAACACACACAGTCCCACAAGCACCCATGTCACAAGTTTTGTCTGCCTGCAGCCGGAGGTGCAAGGCCCCAGAACCCAGACTCCCCCTGCAGCCATCTCCTTGACAGTTGGCAGGCTTTGTGGCCATGGCAGGCCCTAGCAGGCCTGCAGTTTTCAGCCCCCTGTCCTTTAACACACACACAGTGGTCACCTATGTCATGAGTTTTGCTTGTTAGCAGTTTGAGGTGCAGTTTCCCAGAAACCCTGCACCTATCACCTTGAAACTTGGCTCTCAGAAAGAGCTAACACCCTTGCAAGTTTCATCCAAATCAGCCAAAAATCAACAAAGTTATAGATATTTCATTGATTCCCAATTATACCCTATGGTCAAATCTCCGAATCACCGAATCTTTTCCAAATCGATTTGGAAGCTCTATATCAATTCGGAAAGCCTAAAATTTCTAGCGATTCAATTCAGATTCATAGATTCAGCCTCTGAATCATCTCCAAATCCGAATCACGATCTGAAGCTTTGCAGAGCCCTACTGGCTGGGCCATCAGGGTGCTTCAGTGCAAGGCTAGCCAGTAGGTGCACTGAAGCACCCAGGTGCCTCAGCCAGCTGGGTCAGCATCTACAGATGCATTGCTGCACATGAAAAAACTCTGCAACAGGATAATACTTGTATTCACAAATACTAACCTGCTGTGGAGCATATTAGTTTCCTGCAGCCTAATAGGGCTGACATGTAGATACAGAGATGCTTACTGCAGAGCAAATTGGGCAACTCCACAGTAAATGTCTTATGTAGACATGCCCAGAGTGGGGGTTTTTTTGTGTTTTGGTTTTTTGGGGGGTTTTTTGAGCAACTCCTTTTTCTAATCTATCATCGTTATTTGTCTTTGTCAGATCTCCAGGTCTCTTGGTGACTATACTGAGTCCTTAGACCAGGTGGCTTGTAACATGGATCATGGCAAACTTCTCTCCTGCCTGGAGCAGGTTGCTTCTGCTATGATGTACCTTCATTCCAGCAAGATCATACACTGTGATCTGCGATGCAGTTATATTTATGTTAATTGTGGTCCCAGTTTCTCTGAGGTATATATACTTATTCTTCTTACATTTGGTCTGTTCATTCAGTGAGTTATGTTGTCTTTCCATTGCAGCCTTAATTCACTGTCCAGTACTAGTCCATGCTGAAAGGGGACAAAATATTTTCACTTAAGATTCATAGAAGACAGACATAACTGTAAACAAACAAAAAAAGGCAGGAAAACAAGAATTAAACCAGTATTATGTAGTGGCAAAGGTTGTATGCCATATACAGCAGACAATAACAGCTAAAGTCCCTCTGCCCTGGCAGCAGGGAGCTCCTGGCCCTGGCTCCCTGATTAGGGGCATGGAACTTGGACAGAGCTGTAGGAGAGGGGCAAGGGGCTAGCTACTAGTTGCTTCACTGGCAGATTATGGTGTGGGGCTGGGACTTACCCCACACCTGCAGCTCTGTCCAAGCCCCGTGCCTCAGTCACCCAACTGGGACATGGGCCTGGGATCTGCCCCTGCCACATACCAGGTGGGGGCTGGAGAGCTTCTTTCCCACTCGGCTCCATGAGTGTAGAGCTGGGGGAGGGGGTATCTGGGGGGCTTGTTTCCCACTCCCCCCAGCTCTATGAGCATGGAGATGGGGGCAGGGGAACAGGCTGGGGAGCTTGCCTGCCCTGAGCTCTGTGCTTGTGGAGCTGGATAGGGAACAGGCTCCCTAGCCCCCACCACCAGGGAACTCCCAGTGGTGGCTCTGGGACTGTGGGGCTGCTGCTGGGAGATGCTTATCTGCCAGTAGTGGCTCCGGGATCATTGGGTTGCTGCTGGGAGACCCTTGTCTCCCAGCAGTGTGGGGCCACTGCTGGAAGGTAAGGGTCTCCTGGCAGCAGCCCAGTAGTCCCAGAGCCACCACTGGGAGATTAGGGTTTCCCAGCCCCCTGCTTCCTGATTGTGATGATGGAGTGGGGGTTGAGAGAGAGGTATCTCCCAGCCCCTGCTCCCCAATCTCAGTCTCAGAGCAGGGGGCTTGGAGCTCCCTGCTGCTGGGGCAGAGGGGCATAGTTCCTGCTCAGGCTCCTGTGTCAGAGGCTGCCCTGACAGCAGGCAGCTCCCATGGGCAAGGAGCAATCTCTCATCCCTTGGTGGATGGCTGACCAGGAGCAGATTTCGCTCCCAGTCTGGTGTCTTCATGGGCGCTACAGCACTGTTACTAATCTCGAGTAAATTTGCTACTTGCATTTGCAGGTAGCAAATTTACTTGGGATTAGGGAGGTTTACTGCGTAGTAAGCATGTACACGTGTAGATGCACATGCTTACTTCACAGTAAACTATGCTAATGTGAAGTTAAGCATCTTGTGCAAATGTGTCCTGTGAGCCGCAACTGATTTAAACCAGATCAAACTTTACACTGTGCATAAATATAGTGGAGCTCACTGCCGTGATATACCATGGCCAGCATTTAGCAGGATTCAAAAAAGGTTTCATTTCTTATTTATGTGTTGCTTATAAAATATCAATTAACATTTTTTAAAAGGTATCATTTATGTCAATAAAAATGATAACCTTGATTAATTAAGCTTAAGATTGTGAAATGGATAAAAAACTTATTCTTCAGAGCATAAGCCAAGCATTAGTTGCCAAAGATTAGGAAGAAACTTGAGGGTTATTTCATAATTGCCCATTATGGAGTTTCTTCTCTGTATAGCATCTAATACTGGGCACTGTTAAAGGCAAGTGGCTGGACTAGACAGGCAAGCCTGATGATTCCTGTGTTCCTATAATTAGTCAGTCCTCCGACAGGAATTGTCTGTTCCTGGGAAGGGAGAATTGTTTAGATGTTGTGTTTTTTGGCTTATTCTCTTCCCTTTCTTTTGAAAGGTGGTGGCAAAAGTTGGTCGTTTGGGAAGAGCAGTCTGTCTGCCAGATACAGGGTCTGAAGGCAACCTCTTTGTCCCCTACGTGCGCAAAGTCATGCCCGTTGACGCTGCAAAATGGTAAACAGATTTTAGGGTTTTTAATGTTGCCAATTTACTCCTACCTTCCTTTGTGCCTCTCTTCTGCCACAAAATCCAGCCCATTAGTAGCCAACCCAATTTCAGGTACAGCACTGTATTTCTCTAGCTCGTCTAACTAGCTCTGAAGAAAGATCCACAATGGCCATAAACATTTCCTCACTAAAGATGTGCTCTCTCTTCTCCTTGAATTCTACCATGTTCCCAGTCAAACTGTGGAGACAGCCAGAAAATTGATTTATTTCTCCTGGAAGACATTTTTTTTAAACTTTTTGGCAAAAAATCAGAACTCCAAAAATGTCATCTTGGGAAATGTCACCACAGGGTCTCATGGAAAATAGGTGTTTAGGTACTTCATGGCCCTGTTACCCTTTCTGGGCTAAAGTGAATCTCCTACAGTGCCCTTCAGTCTCTTTTCCACTCTTAATGAAACCTGATGCCACAGCTTCTGCTGTTTACTCCCTGGTTGACAGAGTGAGCAAACCACTCTCTGGCTAAGGTAGAAGGGGTTATAATCTGGCCTGTGGAAAGGAGCTTTAGTGAGTCCCACAACACTGGGCTTGGAGAAGAAGTAATGACAAAGAGACTAAGAGATGGGTTCAAAACATCACCAGCTCTCTGGAGGAGAGGATCTTTCCTACAGGCTAGAAGGAGCAGGGTCCCAGAGGCCTGAAAATGAATCTGTCCAGAAAAAAGAAGGAATAGCTGGCTTAGCTTGAAGGGAAGTGCTTTGCAAACTGTTCAACTGTTGGATGACCAGGAAAGCTGGACTAGGCTTTCACAAAGCTGGAGGAAGCCTGGTGACCAGCTGTGTACATGTAAAATCTGCCTGAATACTTGTGAACAAGACAACTCTGAAGAAGGAAGACCTATGAATTGCCTGGATGGTTGAGTCCCTTAGACACCCCACTCCATGCTTTTTTCTTAGAATAGTAGAAATGAGACACCCTTTTTTCTAGGTGTCTGGACTTCCAGGGCTCCAATCATGAATAGCATTTATTGGTATCTACAGAGGCTCAGGAGATATTTCCACTGTACAGTGGTCACTGGATCTCTGAGGTAAAAGGGACTCCCAAGTGCCTTATGCCAGTCCAGAAGTTGGCCTAATGAATGTTGGAGGGGTGGGAGGGATATATTCTGGATGGAGGGCATTTTACAGCTAACTCTGTCTGGACTCCTCACATGTGCTGATTTATAATAAACCAGTGAAGTGTCCATTCCTGTCCATAGGTCTGCCCCAGAAGTGAGAAATGGTGGACTGTATTCCCGGGCATCTGATGTTTTCACCTTTGGACTTGTGGTCTGGGAAGCATTAACAACACGTTTTACCAATTTGCATATGTACAAGCTGTTGAAGCCTTTCCACTTACTAAACAGCAAGGAGGTAAGTTCAGTAAATGGAAAACAGCATAAACTTCTCATGGATAAATGAATCCTAAGCTGCCTAATGATGATACAGAATAGCATTTGCTTGCATCTACTTGACCAGAGCTTCACTAAGAGAAGAGGAGGCAGAGAAAATGAGCAGGTGAGGCAACAAAAGTTTAGAAGATATGAGAAATACAGGTCAGAATAAGAGGCCTAAAGGTTACTCAAATAGACCAGATAATTGAGTATAAAAATCTAGGTTCACCTGGGAATCTTTGCTTGTCAGCCTTGAGCTATGGTTCTTCATGACTAGCCCATTGGCAGATAAACCAAGATAAATATTTCTTTACAACTGAGCTTTTCAACGTAAGAAAAAAGTGCTTTTCCCTTAACAGGCTGGCCACCTAGTTGAGGCCTTTTAAGACCTTAGGATGTAGAGAATTTAAGATTAATTTCTTTCAAATATTAAAAAGATTGCTATTTCTTTAGATGAATGTGCATTTTATCAATTTAATATTATTTGCTCTATATGTTTGTCCATGGATATCTTATCTGTATTTCATTATTAAAGTTGCTATTAAATTTCACTTACATATATTTTCTTGAGTATTTAATTCTGGTGATGGTCTCTTTGAACCTCCCTTGGCTCCCAGAATGCTTTGGTGTCAATAAAATGTAAACAGCCATGACATTGTGCAGATTGTACTAGTCGTTTGTCAAAGCCCATCTATTTCAATGATAAATACATTGTATAAGCAAATTTAAACCATTTTATTAAGACTTGTTACATTGTTATTTCTTGCCTGTAAAGCAGCCTTGAAATTGGCAGGTCCTAGTAAGTTTCAGGGTTGCTAATAGCACAACACTGACAGTGGTTGAGAAGGGCAGAAAGACTAACTGCCCACCCCACATGATCACCAAATGACTGTACAGGAGCATGACTGAGAGGGGTTGCTGCGCAGCTAGTGAGTGATTGCACTGCTGCCTCCAGCTTTGAGAGTGACTATCATTTTGTCTTTATCAGTATTAGATTTTTTTCTATAATTCGTTAAATTTTGAGGTGGAGAAAGATTGTGCTATGCTGCTACCTGATTGATGGTAGTGCTGGGACTGTGACTGTCCCTCCCTAGATGGGAGTGTAAAAAGTGCACTTTACCACAATCCCAACCTCATCCTCCCACTAAAAATCTGTAAGAAGGTTTCTTTAAAATTCACTCCCCAACTTTTTTGTTTTTGTATTCCATTTTTTCCTGGGGATTGATTAACACATTACAATTGTTCTTATATATGGTATGATCTAGATCTCTTTTTACTATTTACCATAGAAGAGAATATTCAGCTGTGTTTGTTTGGATGCTAAAGCATCTCTGTTTTCTTGCTTGCTTAACTATAAAAACAGGTTTTGAAATTTACAGAGGAAATTCTGAAATTTACGGACGAAGAAAATATCAGCGATAAGGAATTGGAAAAGGTTATTCCATTAATTCTGTGTATGAAAGCCTGCTGGAATTCTAACCCAACCAGAAGACACCCCTTCTCCTCCATTTTAGAGCTGGTAATGGAAGCAAAAGATGCCTACAGGTAATTCACTGTGGTCCTAGTTTTGTTATAGAGTCCCCATAATGAACACACCTTGCCTTGGTTTTTTCATGTTCATTTGTATAATTGGAATGGTAAATGTGAACCTCAACTACAGTGGGGATGTCTTCCACACCATCAGAAGCCTCCAAGGCTAAGTTTACACTAGAACCTTTTGCTAGTACAATGATGGCAGTCAGAGTGATTTTTTTGCCACATTTTTATACCACCAAAAGTCCTATTGCAGACACAGTTACCCTGGCCCAAAATACTTTTGCTGGTTTTCTGTTCAGGGCAGAAGTACACACTTTTGTCAGTATAGTAGGAGGGTTTTACAGTCTCAGTCTACAGGCAAATCTTTGAAGTGTACACAAGGCCTAGGGGTATGTCTACATTGCATAATGCTTCTCAGCAGGATAAATTAGTGACGTGGAGCTCCATTCAATCACAGCTAGATTACTTGCAGTACCTGACTTACATCATGTGTGTCTGCACTCCATCTCAGTGTGCAGTGTAGGCATACCATACACGTAGCACTGCAGTGAGGACATAGTACATTTAGGGGCTATCTTCAAGAAACTTTTGATTGGGCCCTTATAGAATATATCCAACTTTGCATGAGCTCAGCACAGTACTAAGTGCACATGCCTAATTCCTACTATGTGTATATTTTGGATAGAGGCTTTGGGGGGTTTTTGCACGTAGTTTATTCCAAATTCCTGGTGAGGGACAGGGAAGCATGATCCCCTCATAGTGCACTGGAAGATATTAATATTGCATGATCAAAGCAACAGAATATGCCAAGGAAACCACTGATTCCTTTTGCTCTGCCTTTTACCTCATTCTCAGTTAGAGTGCACAAACTTGCCATCTGGCTTATTATGGAAGATGTAGATTGTTCTGTGCTAGAGCAGAGGTGTCAACCATATAGCCCATGTGCTGGATCTGGCCTGAGGAGTTGTATAATCTAGCCTGTGGGTGTCACACCAATGTGGTGTGTGAAGCTGGTCTGGTGTATAGGCTGGAATTGGTGGGTGCTGCATGTGGCCTAGGGCGGTGGTTCCCAACTTTTTTTATACCATGGACCAGCAGGAGTGGGACAGGGCACACAAAGCCAGCTGCCTCCTTCCTGGGGCTGCCCCACTGCTCAGCTTTAGTCCCAGAAGGTCAGCTTTAACTCCAGAAGCTGCTCACCTGGGTAGACAGATGGGGGTCCGAGCGGGGGGCTTGTGCCACACCCCCGCAGCCAACACTTCATGGGGTCCATGGCTCAGTAGTTGGGAGCCTCTGGCCTGAGGGGCCTGGCATGGGATGTGTGTTGCATCCTGCATTCTGCTGGACCTGCCCTAGAGTCCTGGCTCTGGGGCTGGTCCAGATCGGGCCATGCCAGAGCCAGTGTGCAGGGCCATCTGTCCCACATGTACCCCACAGCATGCAACCCGGCAGCCAACACTTCATGGGGTCCATGGCTCAGTAGTTGGGAGCCTCTGGCCTGAGGGGCCTGGCATGGGATGTGTGTTGCATCCTGCATTCTGCTGGACCTGCCCTAGAGTCCTGGCTCTGGGGCTGGTCCAGATCGGGCCATGCCAGAGCCAGTGTGCAGGGCCATCTGTCCCACATGTACCCCACAGCATGCACAAGCCCCATTTTGGGACTTTCATTGCAGGTGGTTCATGAGGCTGGCATGGGGTGCAAGCTGTATACTGTGCCTCACTGGACTTCCAGGCCCTGTGTGTTGGCTCTGGCATGACCTGATCTGGACCCAGAACCAGCCTTAGGGAAAATGATGCCCTGGGCAAGCTTATATTTTGTCCTCCGCCCTCTGGCAAAGCCACTCTGGCACAAAGTATTTCAGAGGAACCAAACTGCAGTCTCATTGGCATCATCTGGATTCTGCCAGTGATGTCTTGGGAAGAAGAATTAGTCTCAGTTCATGACACTTTCAGTGGTCAGCATTGATTGCTTTAATCATGCTTGCATATGGAAATATCCACTTAATATCCAGAACACAGCCACATTAGTTCTACAGGCAGCACTACAGAAGTGGAGCAGTAATAGGGTATTTTTCCTGTCTCTGTCTCAAAAGGGTGTCCGATGACTTATACTACAACACCACATCTGTGCCTTCGGTTGCAAATGAGGACATATACGACTCAGTTTACTTCAGGAGTGAAACACCAAAGGAGGATGTATACAGCTGTATCTCCGACCCTGACCCTGCTGATGGTCATGCCAATGACAACTTTTCAGTCTATGATGATGTGGCTGGACCTGAACCCTTAGAAGGGAGCTCACTTTATTTCTCTAAGAAAGAGAAGTGGGGAGAAGTTGTTAGTGAATTTGAGACGGGAAAAGGAATAGAGAGGAGTCCAGTCTCTTTTTATAACCCCAAACAAGCCGGTATGTATGCTGATACTGGCATTAATTGGAAGAAGAAATTGAAAAGTGGGAAAAGCAGGATGTTATAATTCTGTGCCAGGTGGGTGACTTGTGGTTGCAAAAATGATAGTGATGGAAAGGCTGAACAGAACACCAGTCTCTCCATAATGTTGCTTAATATACTAGTCCAGGGTTCAGCAACCACTGTCATGCATGCCAGAGCATGGCACATGAGGCCATTTTGCTCTGCATGCCACAGCTGGTCTGGGCTTGGGGCAGCTGCTGCCAGCCACTGACCCGGGGCTGCTCACAGAAGGTGGCAAGGAGGCTGCAAGCCCTGCTGTGAACAGCCTGGGCTCCATGGCAAGGAGCAGTTGCCCAGAGCCCAAGCCAGGTGTGGGAGGCAGCCATGAACCTTTAAGGAGTTGCACTGGGGTCCTGAGTCCCAGCCTGGCTTGTTGCCATGTGCGCCTTGGGGACCACTGTGGGGAAGGGGCCAGAGCTGCACTCCACTGCCAGGGGCTGTGCACCTGCAAAACCTGGCATCCCTGCAGGGGGAAGGAGGGGAGCGGAGAGGTGGACGGTCAGGGGGGACATCCCTGTCTCCATCCCACTGGGCCCAGTTGAAAAGGGCAGGGCAAGCTGCATGAGCACAGCAGCCTCAGGCAGGAGGTTTCCTGCGAGGTGGCCCCAGGCCCTGCTGCCCCTGTCTCTGTCTTCTCTCCCTGCAGAGTTTGTCTGTGCTGAGGGTGATCAAGGGACCTGCACATCAGGCCTGAGCCATGGCCTTGGAGATGGAGTGGGGCAGCCCTTGGCTTGGTTGCTGGGCTGGGGGAAGGTGTTTGTGGGTGGGAGCTGTGCCACAGGGGTGGCTGCCATGGGCGGTTCTAGGGGGGTTCCTCCTCCTATGCCTAAGTGCCAGTGGGTTAGGATGAGCCACGCTGCCAATCCCAGGCCCTGCTCCCACCCACCCCTGCTCCTGCTCCTACTGCGCTAAGCCATGAGCCTGGAGCTGGGATTCAGGAGCCAGGCCACTGCTGATGTGTAGCACAGACCTCAGACTTGGCTCTTGACCCTGTTGTGATCTTGAGGGTCCCAGCAGGGTCTGTGCTTCCCCTGTGCTTGCAGCCAGCATCCAGTTGGTCTGCAGCAGGGAAGGGGCAGACTCCCTGGTCTCTGTGTCCTGGCCCCTTGCCCACCATGCTCCCTGGGGTATGCCTGCAACCCCTGCCAGCAGTGAGTGGGGCTGGGGCTCTGGACCCCCCAGGCAGCCGCTTGCAGGCTCACGGTGGCCTGCTGTGATCAGTCTGGGCTCCCAGGCAGGTGGCAGGGGCCTGCCCAGAGCCTGGGCTGATCGCAGCAGGCAGCTGTGAGGCTGCAGGTGCCTGCACCAGGGTCCGGAGCCCTGGCCCAGCTTGTTTCTGGCAGTGGCTGCCTGCGTGCCTCTGGGAGCATGGTGGGGAAGGGGCCAGGGCTGTGCTGCTGTGACAAAGATTGGACCCCTTGCAACTCCCCTGCTTACCACCCCTGGCATGCCAACATCTTTGAAGTCCAGGTTGCAGGGGGTTTTGGCACTCAGCCCACAAACGTTGCAGACACCTGTACTAATCTTTAGTCCTATAAATATTCACCAAGTTTGCTGGGCAGTAGGGGGCACCCACCTCCCATCACATATTACATGTCAGAGGGATGAAGCAGCAGGGGTCTGTAGCCTCTCCCAAAATCATTTAATACAGCAGGGCCTCATAAAAATCAGTTAAATATCCACGGCCTCCCATTCCTTTCATTTGACCTTGACCTTGACCTTGAGCAAATATACCATACAATGGAAACACTATCAGTCCAACTGGACTTGTAAGAATCCTGCTGCAGCTCTTTCAAAGGCTTTCTTTACACCTGTGTTGCTTTACAATGTGTAAGAGGCCTGGGAGGCACCTGTTCTGACCAGCAATTTAGAAATATCCAACACACCAATAGTAATAACCATGGGCAATTATTTGTAAACATGAAATGAGATTAAATGGATCTAATGAAAATCTGTGAATTGTAAACTGGCATTTCTTAACTTCTGAGTGCTTGGTCCTTGCAATTTATATAATGTTCTTTTAACCTAGCTCATTTGATAGAAGAACCTGCCTCTGGGATCTTTATAGTTTCATAGTTGGTAGGGTCGGAAGGGACCTGAGGAGATCATCTAGTCCGACCCCCTGCCATGGCAGGAAAGAGTACTTGGGTCAAACGACCCCAGCCAGGTGTTCGTCCAGCCTTTTTTTAAAGACCCCCAGGGTAGGAGCCAGCACCACTTCTTTTGGAAGTTGGTTCCAGGTCCTAGCTGCCCTGACAGTGAAATAGCGCTTCCTAATGTCTAGCCTGAAACTACCCTCCGCTAGCTTGTGTCCGTTGTTTCTTGTAACTTCCAGGATTGCTCGGGGGAAGAGGGACTCTCCCAATGCCTGCTGGTCCCCCTTGACTAGTTTGCAGACTGCCTCTAGATCCCCTCTCGGCCTTCTCTTGTGGAGGCTGAACAGGTTCAGGTCCTTCAGCCTCTCCTCGTAGGGCCTGCCCTGCTGACCCCTGATCATGTGGGTGGCCCTCCTTTGGACCCTGTATATATTGGCCACATCCCTCCTGAAGTGCGAAGCCCAGAACTGGATGCAGTACTCCAACTGCGGCCTGACCAGTGTCGCACAGAGGGGGAGGATCACCTCCTTGGACCTGCTTGAGATGCACCATATGTTCCATGTTTGGACCTTGGCAATTTGAGAAGCCAATTTGAAGATGATCAGGGCTCTGGGATTGCTGTACATTTGAACATATAAAAGCAAAATGTACCTCTGGTACAATTATTCAGACACAGATAAACACCATGATTTATTTTTAAATCTTAAGCTTATAAAATATAGGAAATTGGCACCATTTCAAATTTCTCTTAGAACAAGACACTTCTCAGTTTCTTTTTTGCTTCCCTGAGGTTTTTGTCAGCCTCCTCAACCTGCCTAGAAATTGAGGATGCTCAGCAGCTACTGTTGCTGGGAAGAACATGCAGAAGCACACTGGTGCCTGGCGAGCTGGTGGAATATAGCAGAAGCTTCTGGGGCTTGGAGAATCCCCAGGAGGATAGCCAATAACTGCATGGGAGAAATTCATACTTGATAGAAGCAGACAGTATTGGCAGCCTGAATGCAAGAGCTGCTGTTATAAAACCCAGGAGTAAAAACAGAGCATAGGCCTTAACTGCAGTCATCTAGACACTCAACCAGAGGACAAACAAAAAAATGGCTTTTCTTGTATTGGGTAGATTGGGTCCTTAAACTAAAAATCAAGGAATTCACACTAATGATATTGAGTCTCATACTAGGTCAGCGAGACTAGGTGTAAGTGGCAAAGCAGTGTGACTAACACTGACTCTTTGCATTCAGAGCCATATTTCTTGAGCTGCATCTGCTGCTAGAAAGAAAGAAGGATGAAAAGGTGACTGTAAGCCAGCTCTCTTACCAGCCTAATGTGGGATAGGGACCAGTGAAGGACATGAACAAGCACACTGAACTCCATCCTGAGAGAGTAGGATGGGCAGGGGGTGGGAGGGGAAACCTGTTGCTCCTACTTGTTATGTGCAATGGCAGATCTGCTTCAAAGGAGAGGAGGCCTTGGAAATACTATCTCCCTCATGTCCTGGAGATGGCAGGGAAGTCCTGCTGTCCTTTATATGGTGATCCCAAGGTGCTGATCACTAGACTGACCCTCTCCTTTTCTCCTTTTGAGGCCCATTTAACAAGCCCTTATACTTCTCATAATCAGTAAGGGGATGTAGGCTATCATGCCTGGGAGGAGAAAGACTCCTGCCAATGTGATTAGCTCCCTCCAGCTAACTGACATCCCAGGGCCCCTTCAGACCAACATGGATCTAAACCTATGTCAATAGTGATGCATGAAAATTGGGAAGCTTTGGTCTTCCCTTATAGCTGGTTGAAAGACTGGCAGGGGGAACTTTAGGAGAGCTTTGTTAAAGAATTTTCCTTTGTGGGCCTGGGGGGCAGGGAGGGGGGGTTGACATTTGAAATGTCTATGAACAATTTAATAAAAAACTCAGCCTTGCCCTGGATGCTAGTACCCTGCCTGCTAGAGCCTTATCTCCTTTACAAGGGACTCTGCTTGCTTGCGTGGAGCGAACCATTAACAAAACCTTTACCCTGCTTCCAGTGTCAATAAGATAAAAGGTATGTTGGAATCAGCACAGTTCAATGACAGTTTTGGTAGCTTATGTAACACTTGTGTCAGGAAGAAATGGAAAGGCTACATGGCAGGATGCCAATACAAACAAAACATCTGGCCAATTTGATATGTCTCAGTGAACTTGGCAAGACAGACATTTGATTTGCCAGTCTGAATGATTTGGTGAAATTTATCCAAACAACTAAGATGACCCAGAAGCCAACTTGATTGACCCATCAGAGGGGTAGCTAAACATCCTTTACTCATCAAACATTAACAAAACCGGCAAGCAGTGAACTGGCATGGCCTTATTTGCTTTCCTAACAGAAGAATGGGTGGCTATTGCCAGGTTCCCCACAAACAGTGCATTTGGGATTCTGCAGAAGAAAGAGAATCTGAAATGCAATATGATTTATTAGTAGAACTCAACCACTGCCTGAAGTCCTCAAGTCCTCAGTATAGCTCTTGCCTAGGTACTGCACAGACACAAAGGAAGAGATGGTGGGTGCAGCTACATGTGCAATTACAGCACCTGAATAAATTGCAGAGCTTATTGTTCTAGAGTTAATTGCTCCCAGGTGTGCTGTTTGAATGTGCTCATGGGAGCAACTAATTCTAGAGCAATAAACTCTGCAGTTTATTCAGGTGCAGCACATGGAGATTGAGCAGAGCAGCCCTGAATGACAGGGGGCCCAGGGAGGGTTTGGTCAGCCTGCCAGTCTGGGGCTGCTTCCCCTGGCTCAGTGTGCTGCAGAGAGGCTGGCTGGGGCATAAGGGAGCTTCAGTTCAGCTCTAGCCAGCAAGTAGCCCCCTCACTGAAGCACCCTTGTGTCCTAACCAGCCCTATCTGTGTCTACACATGCTTCTGTCGAGTTTTTTACTCCACAGCAGGATAGTACTTGTATTCACAAGCTCTGTCTTGCCCCAGAGTAAATTAGTTTACTCCAGCCTAATAGGGCCACACATGTCAAGCTATTTACTGCACAGTAAATATCTCATGTAGATGTGCCCAGCCTTCCCCAAAAAGCATACAGTCTAGATAAGGAAGTCAGATGATGGTTGGTAGTAGAGCAGTGTAGTTCTCTCTCTTTTGTATGTGGGAAGAGAAACAAAGAGACTAAGGACATGTCTACATGGTCTCCCTCCTGACCCTAGGACTTCTGACCACAAAATTAGGCTCCTGTTTATTGCTGCTTAGGGTCACCAGAGACCAGCAATTGGGCAGAGTTGATAGCTTGGAGTGATCCTGAATGTGCACCCAGGTCTGTACTCAGGCTCTCTGCCTC